CTTTACCATTTCTTATGTCTGATGCATTATCTGGAGCTGGTAGAGAAAGAGAAACTGATCATACACCAAAATCGCCCTTTTCATAATTTGTAGATGTGTATTCCTAGTAAAAGTGTACTGGTAGTCCTCAAGTTATGACCATAAGTGGTCCCAAAATTTCTGTTGCTAAGTGAGACAGCTTCCCCATTGTCTTTGCTTGCCAGAAGTTTGCAAAAGATGATCATGTGACCCCAGGGCACATCATGAATATGAGTCAGTTGCTGACAGTGATGGGCTGCAAAATTTTTAACAACTGGTCCTCTGGCCTGGTAGGCATCTCACTCATCACACCCAGACCCACCTCCTGGCCACTCACCTCAAAGGCAGAAGTCATATTCAGCCGGTTGGGGCTAATCCCACCACTGGCTGGCTCCGCACCTGTTCATTTATTGGCCTGTATTTTGGCTGTTTTTTCAGCCATTTTGGGGGCCATTTTCTGGCTGTTTTTAGGCCATTTTGAAGCCCTTTTGGGGTCTGTTTTCAGGCTGTTTTGGGGCCATTTTAGATAGTTTCCCAGGCCATTTCCAGGCCACTTTTCAAGCTGTTTTTGGCCCCAAAACACCCTGAAAATGGCCTGAAAAACAGGCTGAACAATGAGCAAGGGCAGAGCCATCCAGTGTTGGAATTTGCTGGTTCGCTGAACTGTACAGAATCTTAACTACTGGTGTAAACCAGCAGCAGCCCACCTCTGATTGCTGAGCATCTGAATTGTGATCATGAAATCATGAGGATTCTGCAAAAATGATCAGTTTTAGAAAGAACACTTATAAAATAGAGCTCCTATAAAATAGAGCCCCTAGAGGAAAAAAAAGGAAGATTTTTTTTCTAGACAAAACTTTAATCTGAACCTTAGATTATTTATATGAAATTTAAGGAGTTTGGCTGTTTATTTACTTTCTGGTTTAAATGATTTGGGTATTGCTTCCCAGTCATACCATTTCAGACATGTGGTTGCCCAGTCTTTTCTTAAAAACCTCCAGTGATGGAGCACCCAAAATTTCTGAAGGCTTCATTGTCTTCACTGTTAGGAAGTTTCCCCTTAATTCCAGGTTGCTTCTATCCTTGATTAGTTTCCATCCATTTTTTCTTATCCTGCCTTCTGATCCTTTGGAAAATATGTTGACCTCCTCTTCTTTGTGGCAGCCCCTCAAATTCTGGAATACTGCTATCATGTCATTGCTAGTCCTTCTTTTCTTTAGATTAGCAAATCCAAATCCTGCAACCATTCTTCATAGGTTTTAGTATCCAGGCCTTTATTTAATCATCTTAGGCACTCTTCTTTGCACTTATTCCAAATTCTCAACATCTTTATTGTAACATGGTGAACAAAACTGGATGCAATACAATGTGTAGCTTTACTAAGGCTTTATGGAGTGGTACTAATACTTCACATGATTTTGATTCTATGCTTCTGTTTTATACAACCAAGGGTTGTGTTAGTTTTTGTGGCTACTGTTAGCACTGCTAGCTCATATTTAAGTGAACATCCACCAGGACTCCAAGATTCCTAGTCATAGTTACTGTTTTTGTACCAGGTTTCTCCTAATTTGTGCTTGTACATTTGGTTTTTCCTTCCTAGATGTAAAACCTTGTTGTTCTCCATATTAAATTTCATTTTGTTGGATTATTCAAATCGGTCAAGATCATTTTGGAACCTGAGCTTTTTTTTGGACGTGTTGGCTATTAATGCCAACTTAGTGCCATCTGCAAACTTGATGTGGCCCCCTTCTATTCTCTCACTTCAGTGAAGAGATTGAAGAGTACTGGACTTAAGATCGAACCTTGTGGTACCCCTCCATGTAGATGTAGTACCATTTAGGACTACTCATTGAGTACTGTTTGTCAACCAGTTACAAATTCATCTGGCTATCTACCCTATATTTTTCTACCTCCTAAGAGGTAGTTTGTGGTCTATTTGTGGTCTCATTTGCTTCTTTTCCATGATTGTCTATAAAGTACTTCTATTCAAAGTCTTAAATACAGCCAGAATTGCTCTCAGGTGTGTTTATAAATTACCCAATTGTTTTCTTGTATACAGTACCCTAAGCAAAGTTAGAGAAAATTAATTTGACCAGTTCTCATCTGTTAGTGTGTACAGTTCTCATTGTACACACATGATTGTGTGTTGTCTGACCCATCCACTGTGATCATTAAGTTCACAGATGATACCACCATATTGGATCTTATTACAGGTGAAGACGAAACAGCATACAGAGGGAAAGTTCAAAAACTATCCACATGGTGCTTAAAAAACAACCTGCACCTGAACATCAGCAAGACCAAGGAGATGGCGTTGGCCTTCCAGAGGAAGAGAGAGGAACCTGCCCCACTTTACATTGAGGGGGGTTGTGTAGAAAGAGTCTCCTCCTTTAAATTCCTGGGAATCCATCTCAGCAAAGACCTCACCTGGAAAAACAACATGATCCAGGTGGCCAGGAAGGCCCAACAGAGACTCCATTTCCTTAGGGTTTTGCGTAAAAACAGGGTGGAACAACAACTAATGACCGGTCCACAAAAGAAAGTGTCCTCACTCATTTCATCACAGTATGCCATGCCAGTTTGACCACCGCGGATAGAACAACATTACAGAGGGTGGTGAGCACAACACAAAACATTGTGGACTGTCCCCTGATATCACTAGATGAGATCACTACGGCTCGCTGCCTTAGAAGAGTGAGGAAAATCCTCAGGGATGACTCATACCCTGGACAGCACTTTTTTACCCTCCTACCATCGGGAAGGAGATATAGAAACATAGCCAGTCACACAAACAAAATCAGTAGTTTCTATCCGTGGGCTCTCAGACTCCTGTATTTGAAATAACATCATAACTATGTAGTACAATGGACTTGCAGGGCCAGCACAATGTGTAACATGTTCACACTGGTGAAATAGGACTGGGGGGTTGTTAATATGATTTATTGGGTTAGGGATTTTTCGTCTTCATTGTGAGTTGTATTGTGTTGGGTGGGTTGCACTGGGGGAGATCAACCAATCTCACTGTACATATCTTGTGCACTGACAAATAAATAATTCTAATTCTAAATTCTGTTACCCTTTGGCTTCTAAAAACACCATGAATTCCCTTCTCTTCTTTCCCTTCCCATCCTTTCCCTCTTATGCATGAGGAACATGACTTCATTAATTTGTTTCCATTATGGGAGGTGGAAGATAATAAGACAATTTGTGTTGTTCCAAATATGTCTTTTTCCTTGGCACCATACAGCACCTCATTCTAGCTATGATTCTGTAGCTCTTATTAAACATGAAACTCCCCTTTTCCTCCATGCCACTTTAACAGCAAGAACCACATGGTTTCTGTTACTGAAATAAGCTCTGGATTACAAAAATGCCAGTAGATATGTTTTCCCATTATCATTCATGAGGATGTTTAATGTGGAATTGGAATAATTTCACGATGTCTTTGGTGCTGGCTCCCATGAGATGTTCACTTTTTTATATTTGGGAAACATAAAACAAAAACAACTGTAATGCATAGGAGAGTGGTGTGCAATTTAATTTATTTATGTTTTGTGTGGCTAGGCTGTTACCGGTGGGATGGTGCCATGATTTCCCAAAAATAAGACCAAGTCTTATTTTCTTTTGGGCCACAAAATAAACATTAGGGCTTATTTTCAGGAAATGTCTTATTTTTCTTCCATGTATGGGAGGCACACATCTGTTTGCTTGCCATGGAGTGGAGCTGCCCCACAGACCCAGTATGGCTTACTTCAGGGCCCCAAACCATCCACACACCTACATCTGCCTTACTTTGTGGTGGTGGTTCCAGCAACCCCACTCTCTTTTGTTTCTGATAACCTTTTGGATCTTTTTTTAAAAAAATAAAGTACCAAGCAGCTAAGTATAACTTTTGAGGAGGTCATGGTTTTGGAAGGATTTGAAACATTACAGAGGGTAATAATCTGGAAAGAACAATATGAATACCCATAAGTCTTGAACAGTAAGATCCGGAACAGAAGCAGTTTCCTTGTAATAAAATAAAATAAAATAAAAGTTGCACTTATTATTGTATATTTCTTTTCTTTTTTTTTGTAATTTTTTTTATTTTTAGGATTAGGATTAGGATTTATTTCATTTATATGCCGCCCTTTGCCCCAAAGGGGACTCAGGGCGGCTCACAACTCAGTCAAGGGAAAGGAGGTACAAACANGGCAACTTCTGTTCCATGGGTTGATTGTTCTCCCTGTCAGAAAATTTCTTCTTATTTCTAGGTTGAATCTCTCCTTGATCAGTTTCCATCCATTATTCCTTGTCTGGCCTTCAGGTGCTTTGGAGAATAGCTTGACCCCCTCCTCTCTGTGGCAGCCCCTCAAATATTGGAAGACTGCTATCCTTCTCTTACTAGACTAGCCATGCCTAGTTCCTGCAACCATTCATCATAGGTTTTATCCCCCAGTCCCCTAATCCATCCTGGTTGCTCTTCTCTGCACTTTTTCTAGAGTCTCTCAGCATCTTTTTTTTTATAGTGTGGTGACCAAACCTGGATGCAGTACTCTAGGTGTGGTCTTACTAAGGCTTTATAAAGTGGTATTAGTACCTCTCTTGATCTTGATTGAATCCCCCTGTTAATGTAATTTAGGATTGCATTGGCTCTTGGTTAGAATACTTCCTGACCAAAGTCACTTTGGTTAGAAGTCACTTTCTGACTTCTGACTTAGTTAGACTTCCTCCCTTGGTTAGAAGTCACTTCCTGACCAGAGGAAATAATCCTTGATTATTTGATTCCTGTTTCCTCTGGCTTTTGAATCTGTAGGCAGAAGTTCCTACCGATTAGATTTTGATTGTTAAAGAGGGGGATAAGTGGGACATAGATTAAATAGAAAAGGAGATTTGTATGGTTATGTTGTTAGGTATTTTTGCTGGTTTTTACTGGACCTTTGCTGATTCCTAAGGAGAATTGAAGATTTAGAGATGAACTATAGAAAATGGGATGAGGCGTGGACTGAAGATGCATCTGATTCTATTTTAAGGCACAATGCTATGTTGTGAATGCTGAGGTCCTTGGTGCTCCCTAAGTTTGGTTGTTTCCTTGCAGACATTTTATTACCAAACTAGGTAACATCATCAATGGTAGTAGGGAGTGGAGTTTTACATACTGGTAGCTTGCCTGTCAGTGTTGGTAGGAGTCGTCTTGGTGGTTCTTTGACTGGCTGTTGTTTTCTGTTAGATTGTTTGTTTGGGTTAGTAGCTCCTTAATCGGGGTATTGTTTGCATCTTGGTTGTTAGTCTATAGTAGTGTTAATCTTGGTGTTAATCTCTGCTTTAGATCAAGCAAGCAAACAATACCACAATCAAGGAACTTCCAAAGACAAACAACCTAACAGTAAACAGCAGCCCAATCAAGGAATGACCAAAACCACTTTCCTCTCCAGCCTTGGCTTTTATCAGTTTCTCGAGGGATGGGGCCGATTCCAGAAAAGGGTTTGTAGATTAAAGTCATTACATCAAATGTTATGGCAAGCCCCCAGAAGCCAGGATAGGACTCGGTTTGAAGAAGCACAACGTCCAAATGATCAGCCTCTCTACCTGCCTTTTTTCTCTTTTCATTTTAAGACTCCCCTGGACAAGGAGATAGTGGATTGGTCTGGCTTCTTGTGCTTCCTGTAGTGTTGGTGCTTGCAGCATTGGTTCTGGGCATGTGTTGGAAAAAAAACACAAACTTCAGAAATGGTAAGAATAATCTTTTTGTTTTTTTTGCTTTCCCTGAGACTCAAAATGGCCAAGACGTTTAGCATAGCCCTTGCTAAGACTGTTGATATGCAAAGAACTTTTTATCATGGGGGAAAAAAAATAAAAACAAAGAAGGGAGCCTCTACAGTATTTAGAAGTTATAGAGTCTAGAATTCTGCCATCCTGCTCTGCATAATATGGTGTTTCTCAACCTTGGCAACTTGAAGATGTGTGGACTTCAAGTCCCAGAATTCTGGAATTGATGCATAGCTCTTGATCATGGCCAATGTCTTCCCTTCCTTCTTTCCTTCCCCATAATGATTGCTACTGATGTCCCAATGTATTTTTCCCTTGTTTTTAACATTTTTTATCTGCAACTTCCAAGGTCACTGAGAATTGAGTGCCAGAATAATAATAATATCCCACAAGCATCCTGACTCCAAATCTTTCCTCCCCTCTTATCCCTTTCCCTTCCATGCCCTCCCCTCCATCTCCATCCCTTCCCTCCCATCACCTTCCCTACCCTCTTGTTCCCTTCCCTCTCATCTCTTTCCCTTCCATCTCCTTCCCTCCCATCTCCTTCCTTCCCATCTCCTTCCCTTCCCTCCCTTTCCCTTTCTTCCCACTTCCTTCCCTCTCATCCCCTTCCATCTGATCTCCTTCCATTCCCTCTTGTCCCCTTCCCTCCCATCCCCTTCCTTCTCATCCCCTTCCCTTCCCTCCCATCCCCCTTCCTTCCCTCCCATCTCTTTCCCTCTCCTTCCCTCCCATTCCTTTCCTTCCCCTCTTATCCCCTTTCCTCCCCTCCAATCTCCTCCCCTCCCATCTCCTTCCCTTCCCTCTCCTTCCCTTCCCTCCAAATAGCCTTTCAGCTTGGGCTTTTTTCCATTCTTGCCAGCTTTATACCCTCAAATCCTTCTCCATCTGGAGCAAAGCAGTCCTAGTTTGTTCTGTATTTTATAATAAATGTGCATATTCTAGTTTGGACATGAGCTATCTCAAAACAGCTGTTCCATGCCTGTAACAGTTAGTGCATGAATCATTTAGCAGGTCCCCACTTAAGTGTCTTTATAATGTCTCCATATGTGGTCACTGCTCTGCTGGCTAATTTCTCTATATCATCCTCTTTTCTCTTACAGCTTGCAGAGGTTTCTGGAGCAGCAAGGTAAGAACCATTTCCTCCTCTGGAGATGGGAAAAGTAAAATTGGGTGAAGGGATTTTGTTTCAATCTCCAAATTTTGTATGAGAAGTGATCTTATAACATTGGAAGTCGGTTCATGCTGCTCATTTTTGCCTATTTCTTTCCAGTCTGTTAAGTATGATTCTTTTTTCAGTCTTCCCTCCTTAGACATAGAATACAGGATATTTTGAGTGGGATGTGGTGGCTCAACGGCTAAGACGCTGAGCTTATCAATCAGAAAGGTCGGCAGTTCAACAGTTCGAATCCCTAGCGCCGCATAACGGAATGAGCTCCCCTTACTTGTCCCAGCTTCTGCCAACCTAACAGTTCGAAAGCATGTAAAAATGCAAGTAGAAAAATAGGAACCACCTTTGGTTGGAAGGGAACAGCGTTCCGTACACCTTTAATGTTTAGTCATGCCAGCCACATGACCATGGAGACGTCTTCAGACAGCGCTGGCTCTTCCACTTTGAAACGGAGATGAGCACCGCCCCTTAGAGTCAGGAATGACTAGCACATATGTGCAAGGGGAACCTTTACCTTTACCTTATATGATATTTTGCATACATAAAATAGATTATGACATTACTCTCTGCATGTTGTAAGGTCATTACTGTGACTTGAAGTTTGAATAAAAGGATGTTGCCACTAGAAGAACATTATGATTTTATCATTCTTGAGTACTGGGGCACATTTTCTCAGCAGTAAGGGCTTTACCAGTCTCAGAAGGATGGAAGGCTGTGTCAACCTTGAGCTGGATCGAACTGCTGGCAGTAGGCAGAGTTAGCCTGCAATATTGCATTTTAACCATTTCACTGTGGAGCTGCCTTGAGGACCATTCAGAAGGTGCAGATAGTCCAGAATGTGGCAGTGCAGGCATTGGTGGGCATGTTATACCCATGGGACCCCACCTCTCCACAAGATGCACTGCTTATCGATAAGCTTCTGAGTACTATTCAAAGTGTTGGTTGTCTCCTTTAACCCCCTTCATGTATCTCACTCATTGTCATACTTCTTGTTGATTCATTGCACCAGCCATGGTGGTGCAGTGCAGTGGTTAGAATACAGTACTGCACACTAATTCTGTCAGCTGTGGACAATTCAGCAGTTCGATTCTCCCCAGCTCAAGGTTGACTAGCCTTCCATTCCTTCCAAGGTCAGTAAAATGACTGCCCAGATTGTTGGGGGCAATAGGCTGACTCTGTAAACTTCTTAGAGAGGGCTGTAAAGCACTGGGAAGTTGTGTATAAGTCAAAGTGCTATTGCTATTGCTAGTCATGACAATATAAGTCTACATTATTTGTGGGATTGTCTGTCTCCAGCTATTTCTGTCCATTCAGTGAGATTGCACAGAGTCAGTGTGCTTTGGGTTGCAACAACTAAACAACATAGTCTAGCAGGACCTAGGAATGTGTCTTTTTTTATTGTGTGTTCTGACCCAGCTACCTGAACACGACAAACCCTCTGTAGTTAAATCAATGATTCCTTTATAAGCAGCGCCAACAGCCCTGGCAAAAAAGTTTCTCTCTCACCTAGCAAATCTGTCCAGTAGGGAGATGAATAGTCTGCCATACCTATTCATCTGCGCCTTCTGCCTTTTATCCCCAGAGCTAGGGTGGGGCTTCGCTAGCAGCAGCAGCTCTTCTGTCACAAGGACCGGCCCATAGATTTCCACTGCTCTCCTCTCCTCTGCGTTCTGTGCATCCGCATGTCAGGCACTGGACACAGCTGTTCCTACGCTTCCTCATCAGTGACCTCCAGACCTGGGGGCTGTTGACACTCTTTTGGAGGGCTGACGGACGGCCCAGGCTCCGCCTCTGCCTCTCTCTCTCTCTGCCAGCTCCATTCGCTCTTCCCCCTCAGAGCTCTCAGGTTGCCTTGGTGCTGACCCTGTTTCCCACCCCTCCTCCTCTGATTCGGCTGCTGGAGGCCAATGGGCTACACACTTGCTCCTTGGCCTCTGGAATAATATCCATCTCCCTGAGTACAGGTTCCCCGCAGAGCTGCATCTTGAGCCTGCTACTGTTCACCTTCATGACCAAGGACTGCTGGGCCAAATCTGCTACGAATCATATTGTGAAGTATGCAGATGACACGGCAGTGGTGGGTCTTATCCAGGAAAACAGTGAAGATGCTTATAGGGAAGAGGCAAAGGCTCTGGTGGAGTGATGCAATAAAAGTGACCTGGTTCTAAATGTGAATAAAGCAAAGGAGGTCATTGTAGATATTAGAAAGAGCCGGCATGGTCACACTCCACTCAGTATCAAGGATGCAGCTGCAGAGGTGGTCAACAACATTAAGTATCTGGGGGTGCAGATAACTAATAATGTGAACTGGTCTCTCCACACATCATCCTTATTGAAGTGTGCAAACAGCATCTGCATTTCTTGTATCGGATGAGGAGAGCACATCTTTCTCCTTTTCTCTTGGCCACTTTTTACAGAGGCACGATTGAGACCGTTTTAACAAACTGCATCCCTGTTTGGTTTGGTGGCGGCAGCGCCACAGATAGAAAGTCCATAAAGAGAGTGGTGAGGACAGCCGAGAAGATTATCGGAAGCTCACTTCCCTTTATTCAGGATACTGCTTATAAGTGCTATGTGCTTAGAGCTCAAAACATTGTTAGAGACCCCGCACACCCACTTCACGGTCTGTTTCTGTTGCTCCCCTCTGGGAGAAGGTTTTGAAGTATTTCTAGTGGGACTTCCAGATTCTGTAACAGCTTTGTTCCCAATGCCATCCGTCTGGTATTCTTGCAAGATTAGTTTTTCTCGCCATTTACATGTATACACCTGAACTGTTGTTTCCCTGTGTCATATAGTATATGTGGGTATATGAATAATTATAGATAGATAGATAGATAGATAGATAGATAGATAGATAGATAGATAGATAGATAGATAGATATAGATAGATAGACAGACAGACAGGCAGGCAGGCAGGCAGACAGACAGACAGACACAAAATATATGCATATATTTTTGTTGTTCATTCCTTATGCTTTTTTGAAATATTTTGAAAATTTTCTTCAAGGGGAACTGATTAGTCAAGTATTCTAATCATCTACAAATCTGGTTGTCTTTCTTTACCCATATCAGTCTTATCTGAATAGTTTGATAAAATATCTCTTAATATGCTGTTCTTACTAGCATTAAGTAAATTTAGCATTAATTAATCAAGCAAGCAAGCAGTTTAGCAATTAAGCTGCTAACAATTAAGCAATTAAATTAATTTTCCTAGCATTTGTTAAATTAATTCAGTATTAATTTAACGAGAAATTAATCTTAACAGTAAAATAATTTTGCTGAAGAAATCCCAATGGCTAACAATTCTCCACTCAACTTGGGTTGTTTTATTAACTCTAACTTTGGTGAATATTGCTACTCATTGTATCCTGTGGATACTGTGAATAGTAGCCTATCTAAATAATAGCTAAAATGGCATCTTCTGTTAAATGGGAAAGATTCAATATTTGGGATGTCATTTAATTCAGTAAGAGGTACGTGGTGGCTCAGTGGCTAAGACGCTGAGCTTGTTGATCAGAAAGGTAGCAGTTTGGCAGTTCGAATCCCTAGCGCCATGTGACAGCGTGAGCTCCCATTACTTGTCCCAGCTTCTGCTAGCAGTTCGAAAGCACGCAAAAATGCAAGTAGAAAAATAGGGACCATCTTTGGTGGGAAGGAAACAGTGTTCTGTGCGCCTTTGGCGTTTAGTCATGCTGACCACATGACCACGGAGATGTCTTCAGACAGCGCTGGCTCTTTGGCTTTGAAACGGAGATGAGCACCACCCCCTAAAGTCGGGAACAACTAGCACTATGTGCGAGGGGAAACTTTACCTTTACCTTAATTCAGTAAGACTTGCTTTTTATACCTAAAGGGATTTGCACACTCTTAAAATCCAGAAACAAAGTCATGTTTTATTTTTTAGAGCTAGTAAATACACCGTATCTTTGTTTTTTGCAAGCGTACCCAATTCCTCCAATATCTGCAGAAGAGGTCCAGTCCAGAGCCAAGGGAAGTACGGGACAACATGTCGAACAACCAAAGGGAGGAATCCCAAATTCTTTCGCCCAGTTGTAGCACTGCCAATGGACAAGCACTGGAAATAAGGATTCCGTTAAGAGATTCCCCACCAGAGGAGGTAACCAAAATGTAAAAATGTTGTGATTGTAAGTCACACCCATTTGTACGACTATTTATTTATTGTCCGTTCAAAATTACGATACTCCTGAAAAAAGTCCTGTTCTTGCAATTACAACCATTGTAACTCCCATGGTCACACAATTGCTATTAACCCACTTGGTAATTGGCTTGCATTTACAACCATTTGCAATGTCCTAGGATCGCAATAGCATTTAAGCTTATATACCGCTCCACAGTGTCTTTATGCCACTCTCTGGGTGGTTTATGATGTAAGCATATTGCCCCCAACAAAATGGTGTCCTTGTTTTATCGACTTTGGAAGGATGGAAGATTGAGTCAATCTTGAACCAGTCAGGATCCAACTCCGGACTGTGGGCAGAGTTTGCTTGCAATAAAGCATTCCATCTGCACATGTGGTATACCATGTGTTTGTAGCTTTTGATCTTTTTATTCCAGTTTCTGGTAGAAGCACCCAAGCCGAACAATGGGTTTGCACTTAAACAATTTGCTTAACAATCATCATAAAAATGATGGTCATAAAATTGGGTCCAAGTTGACCTATACTTAGCAATAGCACTTAGACTTATTGGTATTGGTATTGGTATTTTATTATTTGTATGCCGCCCTTCTCCGGGAGGACTCAGGGCGGCGAACAATTCAAAGGGGAAAAAAAGGGGGAACATAAAAGATAAAATACAAATAATAAAAGTAGACAACAGTCGCACAGCCATACATGTCGAGAGGGGAGGGAACTCATCATCCCCAGGCCTGCCGGCAAAGCCAGGTTTTGATGGCTTTTTGGAAGGCCTGGAGAGAGGTGAGGGTCCGAATCCCTGCGGGGAGTTCATTCCAGAGGGCCGGAGCTGCCACAGAGAAGGCCCTCCCCCGGGTAATAGCCAGGTGGAATTGGCTGGTAGATGGCACCCGGAGGAGGCCAACCCTGTGAGATCTAATGGGTCTGTGGGAGGTAATTGGCAGCAGGCGGTCTCTCAAGTACCCAGATCCAATACCATGAAGGGCTTTATAAGTTACGACTAGCACCTTGAAGCGTATCCGGAGACTGATCGGTAACCAGTGCAGCTCACGGAGGATAGGTGTAACGTGGGTGTACCGAGGTGCACCCCCAATATATATCACTTTAATGTGCTTTACAGCCCTCTCTAAGCGGTTTACAGTCAGCCTCTTGCCCCCAACAATCTGGGTCCTCATTTTATCTATCTCGGAAATATAGAAGGCTGAGTCAACCTTGAGCCAGTCATGATTGAACTGTTGGCAGTGGGCAGAGGGAAGGATGGAAGGAAAGTACAATAGCAATAGCACTTAGATTTATACACCTCAGTGCTTTACAGCCCTTTACAGCAGTTTACAGAGTCAGCATATTTCCCCCTAATAATCTGGGTCCTCATTTTACCCACCTCAAAAGGATGGAAGGCTAAGTCAACCTTGAGCCTGGTGAGATTCGAACTGCCAAATTGCAGGAAGCCGGCAGTCAGCAGAAGTAGCCTGCAGTACTGCGCTCTAACCACTGCACCACCATGGCTCTTACGATGGAAATCCCAATCTGAATTATGGTTGTAAGTCAGTGGTGGGTTTCAATATTTTTTACTACTGGTTCACTCGTGCGCGATGCGCAGAAGTATCCAAGCGGGTAGGCGGAGCCTCCCACCGCCACCACTACCAGTTCACCCAATCCAGGCTGAACTGGGAGCAACCCACCTCTGTTGTAAGTTGAAGACAACCGTCTTAATTTTCACGAATGCAATTGAGTTCTTTTTTTTTTCCAGCAGCCGTGATGGCTCAGCTGTCAAAGACGCTGAGTTTGTCAGCTGGAAAGCTGACAGGCCGGGTTCAAGGCCCGAGTGCCGCATGATAGGGTGAGCTCCCATTACTTGCCTCACCTGCTGCCTACATAGCAGTTTGAAAGCATGCAAATGCAAGTAGATAAATAGGTACCACTTCAGAGGTGGGTTGCTGCCAGTTCGGCCCGCTTTGGTTGAACTGGTAGTGGAATGCAGGCCTGGGTCGCAGGCCTGCCATGCCCCCAAACTGGTTCCTTCATGGCCATTTGGCCACTGTCATTTTGGATTTCAATGACTGCCCATGCGCAGTTCACTGTAAATTATTCTGTGCATGCGTGGGAGAACAATTTACATTGAAGAGCGCATGCAGGCATAGTGTGCATCTGGCACAAGGGTTGCAAACCAACAGTAATGCCAGCAGCAACCCACTACCACTAGTGTGAAAGTAATACCATTCCGTGCACCTTAGTGTACAGAGATGCTAGCCACATGTCAATGGAAATGTCTTCAGAGAACACCGGCTCTCCTGCTAAGAAACTGAGGTGAGCACCACCCCCTGGAGTCAGACACAACTGGACAGGAGAAACCTTTGCATTTTCTCTTCTTTCTCATTATAGGAGGGTCGAGAATATGCAGAAATGAGAACATTGGTTCCTGTGAATTGCAGAAACTCAGCAGAAGGTAAGTGCTTTTTCAACTAGGCCTTTTCTCCGTTATTCAAAGTGCCTCATACCAGAAGTGATAAAAGCCACCTTGCTAAATTTGCAGGCTGGTTTTTCTGGTTGCTGTAAATATAAAAAGCTATCACTGTCAGAATCTGTTCTGACTTGAAAACACTAGTGCAGTGTTTCTCAACCTTGGCAACTTGAAGATGTCCGGACTTCAACTCCCAGAATTCCCCAGCCAGCTGGCTGGGGAATTCTGGGAGTTGAAGTCC